GCATCATCCCATTTAACTCTCACACTGGTTCCCATGGTGAAGATGAGGAAACTGAGTCACTCGGCTGAGGCAGAGTATGGAGTAAGTGTGTCTGTGATGAGGACTTTGAAAGCAAAGAACAGAATGCAATGAGTGAGAACGAGGGAGTCTTTCTTTAGATAGACCAATGAGGGACAGTCCCCCTGAGAAGGAGTCATTTGAGCTGAGACCTGAAGAAATCAGCCAAGTTAAGAGTGGAGCCCTAGCCCATGTCACTCAGTGGGTAGAGCATCAGCCCATGCACCAAATGATCCTGGGTTTGATTCCTAGTCAAGGGCACGTACCTGGGTTGCAGGTTCGATCCCTGGTCCAGGTGAGACGCATGTAGAAGGCAACCATTGATGTGTCTCTCTTATATCAATGTTTCTCTCTCTCGCTCTCTCTCTCTCCCTCTCTCCCTCCCTCCCTCCTTTCCACTCTCTCTAAAAAAAAGCAATGGAGAAAAATATCCTCAGGTGAGGATTAACCGAGAGAGAGAGAGAGAGAGAGAGAGAGAGAGAGAGAGAGGAATTCCAACAGACTATGCAAAGGTCCTGAGCAAGGAGAGAATCTGACATGTGTCCAAGGAACTAAAAATGGCCAGTGTGTGTGCAGCATTTTGAGAGAGAAGAAAGGGGGCTCAGAGAAGACACTAGACCATGCAGGCCACAGCCAGGAGTTCAGATTTCATCCTATGTGACCAAGGAAGCCACCAGAGGGATAAATGCCCAAAATGACATGGTCTGATTTACCCAGGGTCTAACACGGAGCTTGTCACACAGAAGCAGTTCAGTGAAAGGTGATGGACCATCTGAATACATAGACTCATGCTCGATTTCCAAAGCGATGAAACTACTGGCTTTACAGAAGAAAAAGTAAGACTTCAGCCTGTGCCCATGGGAAGAACAAACAATTTCGTCTAATCCAAATTCACTTTCATGCCTCTCTGCCTAAGAAGCATGGGGCGCCGCTGAAATCCACAGGCACATCACGACAGAACAATTTCAGTGATCGTTATCAAATGCCTCTACTTAGACAAGCTCCAAAGATTGTATTAGCACAATCCAATATTTATGAAATGTAGTCTGCCATAATGAGGGGATGAGAAAATTAAGATCAGAAGCCAGAGTTGTCCCTTTGGGGAGAGGCACTGGCACGGTGACAAAGGCAGCAATGTCACTGGGCTTCTCAGAGCCTTGATTTTCTGATCTGTAAAATGGAAGGATGGCAGCAAAGACTAAAAATGTGTGGTCAGTTCACAGAAGGCTAATGGCATTTAATAATGTTTATCATTCAATCCTTCATTTAAAACTATGTGATAGAGACTCTTTGCCCATCTATAGGCATCCATCTAACAAAAATGTTATTTTGTACATACTATGTATGATGCACTGTATTAAGCACTGGAGATAAAGCTGCAGACAAGATTGTCAAGGTCCTTATTCACATGGAACTTCTCATCTGGGGGTAAAACATACACTGAACCAATAGCATCCTCAGTGGTGGGTGTTACTGAGAAAGAGAGCGGGGGCGATGGGAAACGTACAGAGAGCTGACCCAGACGGGGGCACCCAGGAAGAACTACCACAAGGAAGTGATGTCTAAGCTGAGGTGTGAAGGGAAAGGACAAGAGCACAGAGAGAAAAAGGTTCTGTGAAGACTGCTGTTCTCAAGTGAGTTTCTGAGGCAGAAAAGAGCATGGAACATTCTGGAAACTGACAGAAGTCAGTGTGAAGTGAGCACAGGGGGAAATGGAAGATGGTGCAGCTGGAGGAATGGGCAGGACCAGTCATCCCAGGACTTGGAGGCCACCATAGGGCTTGGTATTCTTCCTCAGGGCAATCCGAAGCTTCAGAAAGATTCTAAGCAAAGAGAGGTGGGGACAATAAAGGGAAGAAGTAACATGAACAGGTCCATATTCTAGGACAATCTCTTTGGCTTTTGTGTGGAGAGAGGATTTAAATAAAAGAGGAAGCCAAGAAACCTGTTAGAAAACCTTCGTTTCCCAGGGAAGAGCTGATGGTGTGTGCACAGGGCAGTGGTGGCAGAGGTGAAGAGAGGCAAGCACACTTGAGATGTGCTCAGGAAGCCAAGTGGCAGAACCAAGTGACTGGCAGGAAGAGGGGATGAAGAGAGGGAAGAGAGGGGTATGAGCCCTTCGAATCAGCACCAGAATGGACGAAGTGGCCTTTCCTGAGACAAGGAACTAGAGCAGGGCTCCTCAAACTACGGCCCGCGGGCCACATGCGGCCCGCCGAAAACATTTATCCGGCCCGCCGGGTGTTTTTGCCGCCGCTGCCTGTCCTGCTTAGCAGCCGACTCGTCCCGGGCCCGCAGTGTGCATGTGTGGAATGTCTGAGGGACAGTGAACTGGCCCCCTGCTTAAAAAGTTTGAGGACCTCTGAACTAGAGAGCGAGTAGATGAGGAAGGACAATGGATGAATCAAGAGTTCAGTGTTGGAGATGTTGAGTTTGGAGAGCCTACAAGAGCCTATGGGGCTTCGGGTGGGCTAACAAAGAGCAGAAGGAGCATGTAAACACACACACACACACACACACATGCTAGAAGATCTAGAGTTATTGGCCAACATCAAGGACAGCCACACAGAGCAGAGCAGACGTGGTATGTTTCAGCACAGGTTCTCTGGATTATTGGGATCCCTAGTGGAATCAGTATTTCTAGCATTTAAACCAAGACACTTTTAAAAAATATATATTTTATTGATTCGTTACAGAGAGGACGGGAGAGGGATAGAGAGTTAGAAACATTGATGAGAGAGAAACATCGATCAGCTGCCTCCTGCACACCCCCTACTGGGGATGTGCCCGCAACCAAGGTACATGCCTTTGATCGGAATCGAACCTGGGACCCTTCAGTCCACAGGCCGGCGCTCTATCTACTGAGCCAAACCGGTTAGGGCCAAGACACTTTTGAGAGTAAAAATTGTAATGGGGCAACAGGCAGAGAGGTTGTCCCATGGTCACTGTACTAATGGGCACGTGTAGTTGCTGGTGACTCTGCTTATGCAAAGTGAAGATCCCACCAGATCTGAAAGGCTCAGTTCTGTAGCAAAGCACATCTTCATTATACGTGGGGCTCATGTCTACACTCAGAAGAAACTTATCAGAACAATTTACACCCATAGTAGGAACTATACTGAGCCATCCAGTAGCTTCCTGCTTTGGAGCAAAACTTAAAGTCAATGTGGCCACAAAGACCATAACCTCCCCTAGACACATCTGAACATCTTCTCTGTCCTCAGCTTAGTGACACCCTGGAAGATCCCTCTCCCCAGAATCCGCTAAGGCACGCACAGTGGATTGTGTAAATGTAGAGCTCAGAAGAGATGTCTGATTCGACTGAAGCCACAGGCATGGTTGAGGTCACCCATGGTGGGATGGTTTATTTTGTGTCAACTTGACTGAGCTAAGGGATACCCAAACAGCTGGTACAACATTATTTCTGGGTGTTCTGTGAGAATGTTTCTAGAAGCGATTACCATTGAACTGGTGAACTCAGTACAGCAGACAGTCCTCCCCAATATGGGTGGGTATCGGCCAATCCCTTGGGGACCCCAACAGAACCAAAAGGCAGCGGAAGGGTGAATTTGTTCTTTCTTGGCTTGAGCTGAGACATCTATCTTCTTCTTCCCTTGGACACTGGTGCTTCTGGTTCTCGGGCTTTCGGACTCAGATCAGGGCTCATACCATCCCACCACCAGCTCTGCTGATTCTCCAGCTTACAGAGTGCAGATCATGGACCTCTCAGGGGGCTTCTCCATAACTGTGTGAGCCGATCCCTATAATACCATGCTAGGCATACTGCGGCTCATGAGCCACATGCGGCTATTTGGCCCCTTCAGTGTGGCTCTTCCACAAAATATCGACTTCTGCGCATGGGCCACGAAGTTTCAATCACACTGTACGTGCGTGCCTGCACGTGGTATTTTGTGGAAGAGCCACACTGAAGAGGCCAAAGAGCTGCATGTGGCTCGTGAGCCGTGGTTTGCCGAGCTGCAGTTTGCCGACCACTGCTATAATACATCTCCTCTTATATGTATGTCCCTATATATCCTATTGTTTCTATTTCTCTGGAGAACCCTAAGACACATGCAAAGGGTGTATATGAGCCTGAAGAACCCCAATTTTAATGGCCAGAGTGAGCTGACCAAGGAGCCTGAGAAAGCGCAGAGAGGGTTGCTTAAAAGCCAAGATACTGTAGGGGTTAGAGAGAGCTCTTGGTCATAGAGGAAGAGTGGAATATGGCTTCCCTTATCCAACAATCAGCTATCCTGATAACTGCAGCAGGGATCACATTTTACAGAAAGGTGATCTTAATGTTCTCGGAGCTGTAATTCTTCCAGGCTTACCATATCAACTCACCGAGGCACACCCTACCCTGAGCACACCTCTTCCAGGTGTACCTCCCCTCCAACACATCTCATAGGCCTGCCTCATGCAGGTCTCCATCAAGGGTGCACATTATGGTTTCAGCCGTTGATTAAGCATACACGTGGTATTCAGGATCTCTGGACATTAACTTCATGAGTAATATTTTCACTGTGGAAGTTTCCCTACCTATATATAAGCTGTGTCTGTGTGGCCTGAAAGGAAAAACATGACCTCAGATTCTTCAGAAGCTCTTTCTTCCGTAGAAATGCCACTCTTGTCAGGCTCCCAAGCAAAACTGTGATGCTCCACTTGGAGCTAAAGATTAGAATATCAAAGTTAAAAGAAACCCTAAAGGTTCCTACGTCCAGGCAACATGTGACTCTTACCAGTTCTTAAGAGTTCACTCAGCCTTGTTTTGCATACCTCTGAGAATGGGGAACTTACTACCAACAAAGTTGTGTATCGCCCTCTCAGACAACTTAACCCATCAGAAAGTTCTTTCCCATGAGTCATCATAGAAGATACCATCCTCATCACAGGCCCAAACACAGTGGCTCACCTACCTGTGCCAAACACAGTGGGTCACCTACCTGTGGGCACAGCTGGGTCCAGCATTGGTTTCTCCCACGTGTTAATCTGCTCCCAGGTAAATCCATTGGTCCCCAGGGCCACGCTATAACCACAGTTGCTGTAGTGCTCATCAAAGGAACAGCCGCCTGCAAACAAAAGAGATATGGGTAAATACATCCTCGTGTCTGGGGCTTGGTTCGTTACTCCTGTCTCATCATTTACACCTTTGAATTTTAAACTCTGGAGAAGATTAAAAATAAGGGCAAGCAAATTGGATTTTTATATTTGCTTTGGTGCTCTCAGGAAAGGCGCTGGCATCTGCAGGTCCCCCCTATGTTAAAAAGTTAATAAGGCTAGCTACATTGATTTTAATCTTCCTTCCTGAGAAAGTAAACAGCGTCTCATTCTAAGCAGGAAGAAATGAATGCCAGGCCATGCCTCTGTAGCTGCTTCCTGCAGCACAGAGAGATGCTGCGAGGCAGCAGAGAGCACCAGCTTCGGAGTCCCGCAAAACCAGGCACGATCCGAGCTTTGCAAAGCTGCGTCAGCCCAGGCCGGGGGGCTTCAGCCATCTGTCTAATCAGTACCTCAGTTTCTCCACCTGTGTTATGGAGGGAAAGATCCACCTGACAGAAATATCATGAGGATGAAATGGAGTAACATATGAAAAGTAACCGGCACAGAATAAGTTCTCAACATCGGCCTCCACCTCTCTAAAAGCGATTTTTGAAATATCATTTTCATAAAGTAAAAATCAAATATGTGAAGCATTAGATAAGCATGCGCCTGGCAGATAATACAGTCAATGTTGACAGTGTTTAAAGCTTTCCCCTTTAAAATCTAAGCCATCTACCATTTTACAACAAGCTGTATCAACTCAATTTTGACAAGAATTTATTCTGAGCACATGCTATGTGTTGTAAGCCCCTCCAGGTAACACTGGAAATGCTGGTCTGTCCGGGGAAACAGGAACCACAATATCCAGGAGGAGGTGCACTGATCAGGGCTGTGAAGGAGGCGAGCATCCAGGGATGGGGAACAGGAGGAAGGACACTGCAGGTGACCGGGAGGATACAGAGGCAGAGGCCACGCCTAGACTGAGGTCTGCAGCCTCTGATGGTCTCCCAGACCCGGTTTCACGCCCCCTCCCCCAGTCCATCTTCCAACTGCCCCTTTCTTGTCTCCTCAGGGTTCAGATCTCATCACATCACCATAAACACCCACTGGGTCCATGTCACACATCCAAGCCAGGTTCTGCTCGACTTAGAGAAACCAGTCCCCATGAGCCCCCGCCTGCATCTGCATTCTCAGGTACCATCACCATCGTCTCCATCAGCTGCAGAGGACAAAACCCCTGCGATGTACCCCACACCTGGGATTCCCTCTACATAGTAGTGGTGGGAGTCCTGTCAACAGATTCAATACAGAATCCTGTCACAGCACCGAGAAAGGACACCTGGGAGGTCAAAGCTTTCTCCACCTCCCTTCCCTGCTGTGCATGGGAATCCAGAAGATGGGCCTTTGGCACCCCAGTGAGTCTCGGGCTGGGCGAAGGAAGGCTGACCCTTTCTCCACCTCCCTTCCCTGCTGTGCATGGGAATCCGGAAGATGGGCCTTTGGCACCCCAGTGAGTCTCCTCGGGCTGGGCGAAGGAAGGCTGACTCTCTTTCACTAGCACCGTGTTTGGGAAGTGAGTTGAGTATGAAATTTCTTTGTACTAAAAAGTAACAGAAATGTGGGGTGTTTTATGTAGACAGAGAGAGGAGAAAAGGAGAGGGGTCCAAGAAACACCATGGAAAGCAGAAACCTATAGAAGATGATGGCTAATGAGAATTTTTTCCCCTATGATGGGAAGTGGATGATACATTGATAGAAACAGAAATATCTGTTTGCTCTCATTTGTTCATTCAATAATCTGACAATTACTTAATTGAGCACCCATCATAGATCGGGCAGAGTACTAGCTCCTAGTTATATGGTGGTTTACTAAAGAGGCATGCTGTCGCAATTTAACCAGGCAGACAGCAAACAAGGAAACTGTAAGTAATCACGCACTTCAGTACTTGCTAGGAAGGCTGCAGTGGGGTGGGTGGGAGACTGCTGAGTCGGGATGGTCCAGAAGGCCTGTCTGACCATGAACTGGAAACAGTTCCCTGTTCTGTTCTGTGACAGCCCTCCACGACTCCCCGCTCCTCCACGAGACCGGGCAGCCGCGTGCGCTGGTGCTTTGGGGAACTGAGCGAAGAAGGGCAATGGCCAGTGGGACTAACAGGAGTCAGGAGGCAAGGATGGGAGGCCCAGGAGACCAGAGGAAAGGCGAGGAAAAGGTGACAGAGGAGGCTTCGCCCCTGATACAGTGGGGAAGGATGACCTTTGAAAGGCAAGAAGGGAGGTAATCAACCCGCTTCCACTAGACCGGTTCTCAACAACCTTCTGGCCCTTTAAATACAGTTCCTCATGTTGTGACCCAACCATAAAATTATTTTCGTTGCTACTTCATAACTGTAATGTTGCTACTGTTATGAATCATAATGTAAATATCTGATATGCAGGATGGTCTTAGGCGACCCCTGTGAAAGGGTCGT